CAGCTGAACCCTACAGATGAACCCTGCAGCTGAACCCTACAGATGAACCCTGCAGCTGAACCCTACAGATGAACCTTGCAGCTGAACCCTACAGATGAACCCTGCAGCTGAACCCTACAGATGAACCCTGCAGCTGAACCTTGCAGCTGAACCCTGCAGCTGAACCCTGCAGCTGAACCCGGCAGCTGAACCCTGCAGCTGAACCCTGAGATGAATGACAGATGAAAGAAGTTTGTTAGAGTTGTCTCCTCTGACAGCCAACATCACGGCTCATGTTCTGCTGTTAAAGTTCTGCTGTGTTCTGCTCTGACATTACATTCTGTTTTTTTAGGAAGTGGCAATTTATCAGGTCAGGCTGTAAACCACTGACAGCTCTCGCTCTCTTTAACCAGTATGATGTCAGAGTGTGTGCGTCTCACCACAGCAGGAGGACACGGGAGAGATCTGCAGTGGGTACGAGTGGGAGGAGCTGACGGTCTGCTCCTCATTCTCCGTGACGACCTCGATGGTGTGACAGACGTAAGGCAGCTGCTCGCTGTTCATGAACTGCTCCTCCATCGAACTGTGAACCACTTCCACTGACACAAAAAGACATTTCATTAAATAAAAACATTCAGCTCAGAGCCAGTAAAGACTGAAACACTCTGCTGTTGAGTACTTGACCCACTGTCAGCCACCGTGACCTCCACCTCCTCCTGTTTGACAGCATCAGCAGCCACCGTGACCTCCACCTCATGTTTGACAGCATCAGCAGCGTACAGTTCACTCAGAGACGGAGACACACCCTGAAAACACCAAAGATGGAGGTTAGACCTACCTGCACCACTTCACACAGACACCGACCTGTCATGTTTGTTATACTTGTTAAAAACATGAAGTTCACAGTCTCCACGTGTTTAGATACATGGGATTTATTAGCAGCTAGTCTGGAAACACACTGCTCTTTATCTGCAGGATTGTAAACACAAATCAAAATGTTACCTGTTAATATTTCATTATATTACCAAATATGAACCCATTCAGCCCCGCTCAAACTCAGGAGTCACCACTGAAATCACCTGCTGCTCCTACTCACCATCCCCGAGGGGGAGGCGGTGGTGCACGGTCAGGAAATAAGGTGAGGCTATGGAAACAAACGGAAAGCCTCCACTCTCCAGTATTTTCCTTATCAATGTGAGGTCACCCGCTAACAAAATTAATGAATTGAGACTGCTGTTGGTACAGACAACATCAGGAAGGTCTGCTGTGTTCTACTATTCATGAAGACCAGGACCTCTTCACACTGTGTCCCAGTGTCTGATCCATTCTAACTCTGAGACCACTCCTTCACACTGCGTCCCAGTGTCTGATCCATTCTAACTCTGAGACCACTCTTTCACACTGCATCTGATCCAGTCTAATGCTGAAACCGCTCTTTCACAATGCGTCCCATTGTCTGATCCAGTCTAACTCTGAGACCACTCCTTCACACTGCGTCCCAGTGTCCGATCCAGTCTAGCACCAAGAGTGCTCGGTGTTATGAGGAACAGGAAGCAAAGCTAACACAAGACTGAATAAGTACTTTCCTCAGTTTAGCAGGAGCAGTAGGACTTGCGACACATTTCTGTGAATTTTTTCAGCTATGACTAACATGCGACCAAACGAGCCAGGAGAACCGGGTGATCGTCATCAGCAGCAGGTTCAAGGTTACAATCAGGTGGAAGGTGACAGACTAGAAAACAAACAGTCGGGCTGTAGCAGTTCCCTTCTCCATCATGACGCCCCAACCAACACCACCACCTCCTTTCTGTTGTTTTTCACCCACCTCTTTATTTCCCTTTGACTTTCCCTCCTTTTCTGCCTTCTTCTTCCCTGAACAGAGAGACACCTTTCAGACACATATTTACAGGAAGTGTGTAAAACATGCTCACTCCGACAGCTCTCACCTTTCTTCAGGCTCCTCTCTGTGGACGACAACATTTTATAAACTCTGAAGGCGTTTGTTCCTTTTTTGATGCTTTTGTCCTTCACCTCCTCGATGTCTGGAAGGCTGTTCATGGCGCAGCGGAAGTTGGCCTTCCATGTCTTTGGATCAGGACGGTCCACGCTGGGCTGGTATTTACCTACACCCCGAGATCACATCAAATGAGCCAGCTTGGATTCAAATGTTTGTCTATACTTTAAATTATCTGGGTTTGACAACTTTTTGCAGAAGATTGTGCAATAGTTTAAACTAGAATCTTACTGATCCAAACTATACGGTGTGTGGTGCTTGTGAGAGTGAAACCTCTGGGTCTGCTCCAGGTAAACCCGAGCCTCACCTGTGTGGATGGCCCATCTCATGAAAAGTGGAGCATCTTTCTCCAGGTCCCAGCCGTGACGCGCAGCGTGCATCCAAGGGATCTGAAATATCCTCTTCTCCTGCAGGTAGTCGACATGGTCAGCATGTGCACTCCTACATCAGTGTGCACACCTGTTTGTAAGAGCGTACACTTACTTTGTTGACCCACTTCAGGCCCGGAATCTGACAGGAGTTGATCTGTTCCTCCAGCCACGGCCTCATCCTCATCCTCTCTACAGGCATGTTGTCCTGCCAACACACAGAGGACAGCTGACTTCACACCCCCACCTCAGGCTGGGCGCTCATCTTCCAGACTCATCTCTTACCCACTTTATTAAGTTATAAACCTCTATCTATCCTCACAATAATCATACAATAAATGTTGTCTCATATGGCTTTGAATTCCTGACCTTCTTTATGTAATTAAAGTGTGCCAATGAAGAAACACTGAAGCCTAAAGGAAACCAGAGTACCTGGAGGAAACTCACAGGAAGAACAAGTAAACTTCACACAGAATGTCTGGGGTGCAAACCTGTATCCTTCTTGCTGTGAGGCTACAGCTCTAACCACCGCATTAAAGATTTAAACAGAACAGTCCACAGAAAGTTGGACTTTATGTGCCTGAACCGGTATTGTTGACAGAGGGGTACAAAGAGATTACACCTGCTGCTAAAAGAGGGGTAAGACGCAGGTGACACCTGTTGCTAACAGAGGGGTACGAAGAGATGAAACCTGCTGCTAACAGTGGGGTACGATGCAAGTGACATTTGTTGCTAACAGTGGGGTATGAAGAGATGACACCTGTTGTTAACAGAGGGGTACAAAGAGATGACACCTGCTGCTAACAGTGGGGTATGAAGAGATGACACCAGCTGCTAACAGAGGGGTACTATGTAGGTGACACCTGTTGCTAACAGAGG